TGCCAAGCTGATGCTGCCTTCTCAGTGGAAGGGGGGGTTAGAAAAGGTCGGCCCCAAAAATAACACACTCCACCACGCCCCACGGTCTGCCGGGCCGGCGGTGTTGGTTCACTTGTCGTTTCCTTTCGACTATCCGGCCCCAAAAATACAAAAATTCAAAATAATCATACTCAAAAGGCTGGGTGTGACAGGCCTCAAGCAGATGTCCGATGGGCTCTGCGGTCACACAAATCTCTTTCAGGTACCTTAAGAAGAAATAGCCTTCCACGGTGTGGGCAGCCGGGAAGTGTCAACCGCCCTCACAACTCTGTCAGCACCCAAGTTTCTTCTGACTGCTATCCTCCTCCTCCATCATTACCTTCTAATCTTCCTTCACGTCTCTTAATTAATGATGCTGCATCATCTTCAATTTCTCCTACCTCTGCAGCCTTCGACAACGATCTGAGTCCACAGAACAGTCCCTGGTCTCCTTAAACCACGCTCCAAATTACATATTGGAGCCTTCAATGTCCGCACCCTCCGTCAAATTGGCCAACAGGCTTCGTTGGCAAAGACTCTAGCAACTCGGGCATGGATGTGTGCTGTGTTTGTGAGACACGCATACAGGACCCAAGTGTGGTTATTCACCTGACCTCTCCTGACCAATCTGGTGAATCTGCAAAATTCACCCTTCGAGTTTCTGGAGATTCGATAGCTAGCTCTCGTGGTCTTGCAGGTGTAGGTATAGCATTAAGCACCAGGGCAGAAAACTCACTACTAGACTGGATCCCAGTTGATAGTCGCCTCTGCGCTATGAGGCTGAACGGCACAGTGAGAACTAAAAGGAATAGTGAGACTCGCCGTTGTCTCTTTGTAATCTCTGCTTACGCACCCACTGACTGTAGTTCGGATGAAGTGAAGGACGAGTTCTACCATAAACTGTCTAACCTCCTCTCGAAAGCCAAACGTTCGGACGTAGTGGTTGTTGCAGGTGACCTCAACGCACAGGTGGGTAGACTGAGTGAGGCAGAAAGGCACTTAGGTGGCACTTTCGGAATCCCAGCTGAACGTACAGATAACGGTGATCGCCTATTACAACTATGCTCAGATAACCGCCTATTTTTAGCCAGCACAAATTTCAGACATAAAGAAAGGCACTGTCTGACCTGGCGTCCACCGAGCTCGACTCAGCGATGGACACAGATAGACCACATTGCTATTAGTCATCGCTGGAGAGGATCGGTGGAAGACTGCCGCTCCTTCTGGAGTACGTGTTTGGACAGCGATCATGCGTTGGTCCGAGCACGTATATGCCTGCGTCTCAATGGACGTAGAAAAAATTTGGCAACAAAACCACTACGAGTTCTGCTGGACAACGAAAACACCAAAGCCGTGTTCAGTGAGAAGTTGGCTAGGCAGTTATCGGAACAAAAGACTGTCACTCATCCAGAAGAAGCTTGGTGCCATCTTCAGTCTACTGTAAAAGCAGCACTGGAGACTGTAGCCGACTCCAAGATAATGGCTAAAAAGAGCCAGTGGATATCAGCAGCTTCTTCCAAACTAATGGATGCACGTGAATGCATCCCTGCAGGCTCTGAGTACAATGAAGAGCGAGCGCAACTTAAAAATAAACTGACGAAAAGTCTGCGCAACGATCGTGAACAGTGGTGGGCAGCAAAGGCTAAAGAGATGGAAAAGGCAGCGGCGATCGGTAACAGTAGACAGTTATTTAGACTTATTAAGGAGACTGGGGGGAAATGGTCAACAACAGTTAGTGAGGTTATAGCGGAGAAGGACGGATCGGCGATTCACTCGCAGGGAAGGCGACTGGGACGATGGGCAGAACACTTTGAGGAACAGTTTAACTGGCCTCCAGCCACCATTGCGCTGCCCGCTATCCAGTCGGACCCTGAATGGGACATAGAGACAGGTCCCCCAACACTAGAAGAAGTTGAGAAAGCGGTAGGTAGCCTGAAACGGGGAAGGGCAGCAGGACCAGACGGACTACCTGCTGAGGTATACAAGAATGGTGGTAGAGTTCTCTTAGTCAGGCTAACGGAAGTGTTAGCCAGTATATGGGAATCAAATACGATCCCCTCCGACTGGTCTAAGTCACTGATCATCCCAGTCTTCAAGAAAGGCGAGAAGTCCTCTTGTGATAACCACAGAGGAATCAGCCTGACAAACATAGTGTCTAAGATCCTAAGTTCTATAATTCTCCGACGCCTGAGTGGAGCTCGGGAACAGCAAGCCCGAGAAAACCAGGCAGGCTTTAGACCTGGCCGTGGATGTATCGACCAAATATTCACACTGCGCCAGGTCCTGGAACATAGGCATGCTTACAGACGCCCGACAATAGCTGTATTTCTCGACCTGAAGGCGGCATTTGACTCCGTTGATCGAGAAGTCTTATGGCAGTGTCTGTCACTGAAAGGCGTGCCTAGTAAGTACATCACCTTATTGAAAGCTCTCTACTCGAACACTTGTGGGCATGTTAGAGCCTATGGTGAGTTGTCCAGGGAGCTATACTCATCAAGTGGTGTCCGTCAAGGATGCCCACTATCCCCATTCTTATTTAATTTTATCATAGATATTCTTATGGAGGTTTCCCTCTCGTCACCTAATTACAAAGACGTTGACCGGATCACAGGTGAATTTTCCTTAGATCTAGAATATGCAGATGACATAGTCCTGTTAGGTGAAGACGCTGACAAGATGCAGAGTCTTCTGAACACTTTGAGTGGGAATTTGAGAATGTTTGGGATGCGATTTTCACCACCCAAATGCAAATTTTTGCTCCAGGACTGGTCTTCAGCGGTACCGCGGTTAACAATAGAGAGTGAAGTGGTTGAGTGTGTTGACCACTTCACTTACCTGGGAAGTAGGATCAACCCGGTGGGTTAGTTGCCGATGAGATTTCTGCACGGATACAAAAGGCTCGATTGGCTTTTGCCAATTTGCGCCACCTATGGCGCCGCCGTGATATTCGTTTGTCTATTAAGGGTCGCGTGTACTGCACAGCAGTCCGCTCTGTTCTACTGTATGGCTGTGAAACATGGCCATTGAAAGTGGAAGACATGAGAAGGTTACAGGTATTTGACCACCGTTGCCTTCGTAGTATAGGACGTATTCCGTGGTGTCACCATGTGAGTAATGCAGAAGTTAGGTGTAGAGTTTTAGGGAGAAGAGGTAAGTCAGTCGACGAGGTTGTGAACCTTCATCGACTGAGATGGTTGGGACACGTACTACGTATGCCTAGTCACCGATTGCCTCGTCACACAATGTTGGCTGAGGTGGGTTCAGGCTGGAAAAAGGCCCGAGGTGGCCAGACTAAAACATGGCACCAATGTATGAAGTCTCTGACTGTTGGTTTAAGCCATGTAGGACGATGCAGACTAGGTGGTTGGGGTCCACGGGACAAGAGGAACCAGTGGTTGGAGACCCTAGGTGATATGGCTCAGAACCGAAGTCAGTGGCGCAGATGTATACACACATTATCCTCATCTTAACAACGCTATACCGAATCTCACTATTTTGTCACTCCTCTTTCCTTTCTTCTCATACTTTATATTTCTTTTGACTGCATTCACTTATCTTCATCCTTCACCTCACTACCTTTTTACTTGATGTGCTGATATGAGGTGTGGCAACTCGGACCGTTACGCAGTAATGCCTGGTCCTATGTTGATAATGATGATGATGATGATGAATCTCGCCACCTCGGGCCTTTTTCCAGCCTCAATCTACTTCGGCCAACATTGTGTGACGAGGCAATCGGTGACTAGGCATACGTAGTACGTGTCCCAACCATCTGAGTCGATGAAGGTTCATAACCTCGTCTACTGATTAACCTCTACTCCCTAAAACTCTATACCTGACTTGTGCATTACTCACATGGTGACACCACGGAATATGTCCTATACTACGGAGGCAACGGTTGATGGCGTTAGAAAGGATGATTGATTCAATTTGAGTTATGAATAGGTATGCAACGATAAGGGACACGAGGGAATCCATTGCTACTCCATTTGTTTGTTAATATTGTTTTCCATGAAGTCGCAAAACTCCAGAAATTTATCTTTCTATCTTATTGGGATTTTACAAATATATTTCCTTTATAATACTTTCTAATTTACCTTATTTGTGGTGAGAGAGAGAAGGAGAGAGACTATACCCACCTCCGCATGCGCAGACGTGCGTGGGATACGCCTCACTGAGTCCCCACAATTTTGCTGAGACCGATGCAACTCATCTTCCCGAAAGATTATCCTCCTCTTACCAACATATTAGACGTGAAGGCTGCTTCCAGGCTACTTTCGATAGGCCAAAGCTACAGCAAAACGATATCCTATATTTCGGACTGAATACCACCCATCTTGTTAAGGTTGACCACATCACCTCTCCTGGGACTACAACAACGGCGTCTACCAGAACTAGGAAGTTGCATTCCCTGACCTTTTGGTTGAACTACTCCCAGCGCACTGGGCGGAATCCTGACGATTAGCTGGCTCGTGCGTGCTTCGGAAGCTTATGTCACTGATCACCGCGTATGGATCTCTCTGATCGTCATTACCACCAAGTCAAATATGACGGTGTGTTGGTTCAAATCTAGCGGGGCCATGGAGAGACTTGCCGTCTCTGCGTAAGTAGGTTCAACCAATAATTGCCGGTGAGCATATCATCTCCAGTTTTCCTGGTCAGCTGCTCAGATGCCAACAACACACTTAACCGCGCTATGTACAGCTTTTTCACGTTGATGTCCTGGCACCTAACTATGGCAAGGCATTTGAATGCATCACGAGAGGCATAGTTACTTTCGCATTTTTTTATCGTGTAAATTTTCTCATATCAAATCCAATTTTCTGTCAATGTAACTAGAATAAATAATTGAACATGTAAATGGGTTACTTCTGCTTTTTGTAGTTGGGGAAATATACTTCCTCTGGAGACATTAGTAATCAGAAGGACACGGAGTATCGGTAAATGAATGTTTTAAATAAATTCTATGGTTGGCTAACATCATGTTAGTAAGTACTAAGCATTTGTTAAACGATAACCATTCATTTAAATTGCTTGATACATTTTTTGTTCAGATGACAGAACTTTCTGATGGTTTTGCTAGTTTGAAAGAGTTAGAAGATATATTCAAGGATCGTTATACCGATAAAGATATTGAATACCAGAACTACTTAGCACAGGCTAATATACCACCTCCTGTTATACCTAATTGGGGTATTATTCTTTAGAATTTAATGCTAATTATTTATTTTAGACAAGCTGACCAGAAATGGAAGTAATAGCCGGGCTGGATGGAATGTAAGTTTTCATTGGTTGGTAATGTATTTTGTATATTCTATAGGATGGTGGAAGGTATCGGAGGTCTAATTATCGACGTAATAGTTTGGATTAACGTGTGACTCAGAGCGTATTGTTTTAATTGTACATTAGTTATTTTAGTCAATCTGTGTACATAAACTTTACTTTTCATCCGGGAATGAGGGGAGCGCAAAACTATATATATATATTATATATATATATATATAATATATATATATATATATATATATATATATATATATATATATATATATATATATATATATTATATATATATATATATATATATGCTTCTAGTGTTCTTTGATTCTAACCCATTCTACTTTAAAATAAAATTTTTAATTCTCGAGAGATTGATACCATTCATAACTTATGACTGAAATTTTTGCATACTTTTTCAATGTGTTTCTAGCTTATTGATTGGTGGTACTTGGTACAACATCTAAGTTCAGGATTTAGAAACGGTAGCCATTGTGTTAAAACGTCTCTATTGGCTATCATGATCGACAGGATATTTAATATGTAGATGTAATGTACATTTTGAGTTCTTCGATTATTGATATTCATGGATTGTATTTTGAGTAGGCTACATCGATGTAGTTTCATACCTGGAACTAATGGTGGCACTCTGTTGTGCTCTGAAAAAGATCCTAGTAGAAAAAAGTGGAGGGTGTTGAATGTACAGTCAGGTGTAGAGTTTAAGGGAGTGAGAAGAGGTAAGTCAGTTGAAATGGTTGTGAACCTTCATCGACTCAGATGGCTGGCTCCGACATGTGTTACGTATGCCTAGTCACTGTCTGCCTCATCACACAATGTTGGCCGAAGTAGGCTCAGGCTGAAGAAAGGCTCGAGGCGTCCAGACTAAAACATGACATTAATGTATGAAGTGTTTGACAGTTGGTTTGAGCCATGTAGGGGGCGATGAAGACTAGCCAGCCAGTTGGGGTCCGTGGGAGAAGAGAAACCAATGGTTGGAGACTGACTGTAGGCGATATGGCTCAGAAGTGATTTCAGTTGCGCAGATGTATACACACAGACACACACACACACACATCATCCTCATCTTAACGCAATACCGAATCTCACCATTTTCTCATCCTTCCTTCCTCTCTTGTAGTACTTGATATTTTTTTTGACAGAGTTTTCTTTCCTTCTTCATCTTGCAGTTCACCGCCTTTTAACTTGATGTACTGATATCAAGTATGGCAACTAGGACCGTTACTCAGTAATGCCCAGTCCTATGTTGATTTAGATGGATGGATAGATTTCCTATGGTTGGTGCACATACATGGGTAGTATAACGACTCAAATGTTGGTCGGTAGCTCTTATTTTCAAAGTGGAATAGTTAAGAACCAGATTAAAACGATAAAATTCGGATTTGGAGAGTCTCCATGTAGTTCATTCTTTTTCACCTTGTGAGTAAGAGAAAACGAGCAGGTTTCCAGCTTCAATCTTGATGTATCACCCAGGTTTTTAACCTATTAACCCATCTTACTCATCATTTGATGGGTACCAACAAGCATAAATAAATTTCAACTCCATGGTATCTTGCCAATCAACTCCCACCATTTAACATGAAAATATACAGTATCACATCATTTAGTTAATTGGCTACTTTGCACATATCAGCGATTTACTCCAAACAGTTAAATTGGTTACCTACTGGTCATCAATGTGTGAACACACTTTCGTATCCTACTTTAAGCTTACTAATCGATATGTGCATGTGTAATGTGGCTGAATCAATCAACAGGTTTTACGGTTGTTCCGTTTCGCTGAAGCTAGTTTCTGGCAAGTATATTTCATTACTCACAGTATTTTACATGAGTATTTGTAAATCGTGTTGGAAACTACAGTACACTAACCCTAAAACTAGTTACGTCAAGCGTTGTTATGAGTGGTGTCACTTCTTTAGACTTCAATACTATTACAATTTACTTCAAAGGGTCACATTATATTTTTTTGGTTGCACAGGAATTGATCTCATTCTCTACCATTCCTTAATAGATTGAAAATACTCCATTAAATAATAAAACTCGGATATAACAGACACAATGAACGTAGAACCTCGCACACAAGTGCATTAGCTCAATTCGCCACACTTCACTGTAGTATACAGAAAACAGGTGGATGGAAAAAAAAGTTATGTGGTAGAATAAACAATTGAAGATAACAGTTGGTGTGAATATCCAAGTTTTAGAAGATGTCAAGAAGTGTGTGCATCTAATCCAGTGTGATCAATTTCCAACCGTTTCACTGAGTCTCCAATCCTTGATTCCTATCGTCCTTGGGACCCTCGATCAGATAGTAGTCTAAGCCTTCTTACACAGGTGAGATCAACAATCAAGAACTTCATTGACTGGTATTACTTCTTGGTCTGGTCACTCTGAGAGAACCCTATTTCAACCTAATCCAACTTCCTATACCTTGGCACGTCGAGGCGTTTATTGACTCGGTATACACAGTATGTGTCCAAGCCATCTCAGTCGATGAATGTTGACAATTTCATCAATCGATTTGTCTGTCTTGTATAGTATCCTTCGCCTGACCTCAACGTTGCTCACATGGTGGTTCTACCAAACATGAGCAATCTTACACAAACATCTGAGATCAGAACTCTGTAATTGCTTCATGTCTTCTACTTGTAGTGGCCATGTCTCAACCTTATTGAAACTGGTCATGCAATCTAGTTCAGCTTTCATGTACACTTCCATGTATTATGTTATGTTGCGCTCTTGTTGTGTAATGATCAAAGATATTACTTTGTAACTGCTTAAGCTGATGCAGATGAAGCGGTTTTCTATCCATCCTATGACCCAGTGATTGGAAGTCGAATACATCTGATATGCGTTTATAGCTTCACAAATAGGGTCTGATTTGGGATTGACAAGTGAAGTTATTGAGCTAACTAATAATCACCTTACATAATATACAGGGAGGGAGTTACTGAATGAATAATCGAAGGAATCTTGGCAGATGTTTAAAAAACATCACTTTTAGTCTGTCCCAGTTTCAGGTTTCTCTTCACTTATAAGAAGGTAGATTGTATTTCTTACAGCTAAATATTGTCCAGTTTAATAAGAACATGTCAGTCCATGATAAATACCAACCTGGAATCAATAAATAAATCCCAATAAACCTCCAAATTCAATAAGAAAATATTCAGGGTTACAATGAACCGTGTTACTTTTAAGATTTTGATGATTTTCCTTTATCGATACAAATTTTATAGCATTTCAGATAAGTATACAGGATAGTCAATTCATGCATAAGGTTTTCAAATGAAATACCGATAGTCAGTGAACATTACTAGGTGAAAAATTGGTTCTTCTGAAGAAAGCATAAACAATGTATGCTGATATGGTGGAGAATATTTATAGTTCAGGTGGATGGTCTTGGTTGTATTGTGTTCCCTAAGCTAGGTTGTTTAATCGTGAAGCTTTCATCGTCTTTCTCCTAGACGACATCATCAGCACTATCTTCAGTATGAAGTCAGCTGTCAATATCTCTCCATGAGTGATGCAGTGGCTTGCTCTGACGATGTAGTCTGTGATTGGTTGTTTCCTTCGATTGTTGTGTCATTGACTGACTGCATAGATCTTCCTGTTGGCTGTTCCTCTGCTTCACCTCTCACCTTTCTGTCGTTTATCGCTTTTCTCATTGGTTGATAGATTGGGTCTATTTCTATACATCTACTAATTGCTGACTGACTGACTGACCTGAATGCCAAGCTTCTAGGAATTCTCTGATATTCTTTGTGTTTCCTCTCTCCATCCAAAATTTCTACATTGTCGAAATTCAATTCATGTCCATAGTTGTTATCCACGTGCATTGAAATGAGCAGCGATGAAATGTCGTGGCGTTTAATAGCCACTTGGTGTTCATGCAGGCGAAGGTGAAGAGGGTGACCACTTTGTCCAGTGTAGTGTTGACTACAGTTATTGTAGTTGATTTCATGAATAATACTTTGTTTGTCTTATTTGACTGTTGCATCCTTTGGTCTGTATAATAGTGGTCTCAGTAATCTTGTCGTGATTTCTGATATATTCTTATGTATGGTAGGATGATGCGTTTGTTGATTTCTGTCGATGACTTTGTAGTTGATGATGCACGGGATAGGCATCTTCTGATAAAGTTTTGTGGGTAGCCATTCTTCTTTAGGGTGGAGATCAAGTAATTTTCTTCGTTTCTCGCTCTTTTGAATAGATTCTGCACGCAACTAATTTTGTGTGTCATTGGGTTGTTGCTACTGTAGTTGAGGATTTGACCAGTGTTTGTTGACTCCCTGTTCACTTGAGTCTCCGGCATTTGTTCTACTGACCGAAGCATCCGTGAAGGGTAGTTGGTTGTTGGACTCCTTCATTGTGAATTTGATACCATTGACAACGTTGTTGATCAAACTGTGGGTGTTTTCTAAATCATATTTTTTAATGATGAAAAGTATCGTCTACATAGCGAATTCAAATTTTTGGTTTGACCACAGGTAGGATGATGGCTTCTAGTTTCTGCATCACTGCTTCTGCAATTAGTCTGGATATCGGTGATCCCATTGGAGTTCGTTTCATCTATTTGTATATTTTGCCAGAGGTCAGAGGAACAGCCGATAGGTAAATCTATACAACCAATAACAACAATCAAAGGAAACAACCAATCACAAACCAGTTCGTCAGGGTATGCTACTAAATCACTGACGGAGAGATATTGACAGCTGACTTCATACTGAAGTTAGTGCTGATGATGTCGTCTAGGAGAAAGACGATGAAAGCTCCACGACTAAAGAACTCAGCTAAGCCGTAGGGACCTGATTATATATCATGGTTAATGATATGGAGTGAAGTGGTAGAATGTGTCAACCATTTCACTTACTTGGCGAGTTGCATTAAGCCAAACAGTCTGGTTGGTGACGAAATCTCAGCTCAGATATAGAAAACTCGTTCGGCATGTACCAACTTGTGCCGCCTCCTTTAGTTGCTGAAAAAGGTAACTCTCGGAGTGTGCGCCTCTGTTTGCAGTAAAGATAATTGGGACATCAAATTAGAAATCCAGTTTTGGATGATACTTTTCGCTACTGA